ACATGACAAAATAATAATAATTTATAAATTATCAAGGATTCATGAGGGATGGTGGGTGGGGGTGGGGAGGAGAGAAAATGAGGAGCTGATACCAAGGGCTCAAGTGGAAAGAAAATGTTTTGAGAATGATGATGGCAACAAATGTACAAATGTGCTAGACACAATGGATGGATTTATGGATTGTGATATGAGTTGTACAAGCCTCCAATAAAATGATTTTTAAAAATAAATAGAGAAATGAAAGAAACACATACACCAAATAAATTAGTTTCAAATCCTGTGTCAGTTTTCCCCAGGGAGGGTTTGAATTCTTGTCATCACTAGGTGACAGAAACACTTAATGATCAACCAGCAAAAATTCGCATTCAAACCGCCCACTGCTGCCACTGTTCAGTGTACATAATCAGCTGTGTACAATGCAAAACTTACTTGACAAAGCAACAGAAAGAGTGTGTCATAATCAGAGAAGCTCCATCACAGGGTTATCCAGTCTACCAACGGATGGTGAATCCAAGAGTCCAACACAGATGACGTGAACTTTCAGGCTCCCTGTGTTTCTTGGTCCAAGCGTTGAATGCAAATGTGTGATACCTCAGTGCCTTTGCGAATAAACTTCAAAACCACCTAGGTAATTATTAGTAAACTGTGCTTACTTCTCTAAGAAGAGCATCAACAGTTTTGGTTGACTATTAAACCAAAGGTTGGTAGTTTGAATCCACCCAATGTCAACATAGAAGAAAGGTGTGATGGCCCTGCTTCTGGAAAGATAACAAACCCTATGAAGCAAGTCTACTCTGTTGCATAGGGGTCTCCATGAGTTGAAATATACTTGATGGCAACAAGTTTTCACTCCTGCTTAATGGAAATATATTAATAAGTTGATTTCTTCTAATAAGGCACAGTAAGGATTTATATCAGAGAAATATCTGAGAGCATGAAAATTACCTGCTAATATTCTGGGACGCCTAAGTCTTGTCTGTGCTTTATTGTGTACACCAATAGATTGGCATTTGACAAGAAGCCAGTCTGGACAAGATGCCCTGAGTACTTTCTTCTAAGAAAGAGGATCAAAGAAAATGATTTCCGTTGCTCATGAATTCTTCAGAAGGCCTTGAAAACTTTATTTCTCAGGATACATTCCAGCCTTTCATTGTCTTTCAACACTCCCACCTTAGCTCAACCGTGTCCGCACCTTTTCCTCATCAGTCTCCCAAACTCTGGTCTTTGCACACCAGCCTCCTCAGAGCTCCCTGCACATCTTTGTTTCTCAGAGTGTAAATGAGGGGATTCAGCGTAGGAGTTACCACAGTATACAAGAGGGTTATAAACTTCCCCTGACTGTGGGCATAGGAGCTGTTGGGTTGGATGTAGACAGCCGTGATGGTCCCGTAGAAGAGAGAGACTACCAACAAGTGGGACCCACATGTTCCCAGGGCTTTACGCCAGGCTTGCATGGATCTGATTCGCATCACCGCCTGTGCGATATATCCGTAGGAGACCAGGATGAGTGCCAGGGGCAGGAGAAGAAGCACCAAGGAGGCCATGAAGAGCTGAACCTCATTGGCATGAATGTCTACACAGGCCAACTTGATCATGGCAGGCACTTCACAGATGAAATGGTAAATCCTCCGATTTCCACAAAGGGGTAACCGAAGGGTGATGGTACCCTGAATCAGAGTGTTGCCCAACCCACTCAGCCATGCCACTCCTGCAAGTGCCTGGCACAGCCGTGGGTGCATCACCGTGGCGTAATGAAGCGGACGGCAAACAGCTGCGTAGCGGTCATAGGCCATGACAGCTAGGAGAACACACTCGGTCGATCCCAGTGCCAGGGACACATAGAGTTGAATAGCACAGCCTATGGCGGTGATGGTCTTCTCGGGACCATGGAGATTCCACAGCAGTTGGGGCACAATGCTGGTGGTGAAACAAAGATCAACGAAGGAGAGATTGGTAAGGAAGAAATACATGGGCGTTTGAAGCATGGGGTCCAGACTCGAGACCAGGATGATGGCCGTGTTGCCCACCAAGGTGAGGAGGTAGGAGATCAGGACGACAATGAAGAGGAACTTCTCCAGCTGGGGCTGGTCAGAGAAGCCCACCAGGACGAAAGCACCGCCCAAACTCTCATTGCTCAGCTTCATCGCCCTACCCATGAAAAGGAGAG